ATTTTATTTCATATGTCAAATCAAGCTCGATTCATTAAGATTTATATAATTAATTACTGAAAGTTCATATAATTAATTGCTAAAAATTCATATAATTTGTGAAGTATTAGTACACCATTTTAGGTAGTTAGAGAATTCGCAAACAATTTTTTTTTAATTTTGAAATACAAAATTCTAAATTTTTGTTAAAATAATATTTTTTATGAAATTAAAAAAAAATAACATTAAAATAGTTCAAAATATAAAATTGATTTATAACGTGTATATGATAAAACATGAAAAGAGACAAAAACATATCAATTTAACAAATAATAAAATTTGGATACCCAATAACTAAACCATATTATTATTATGAAAATCGGTTTATATTTGGATAATAAAATGGATAATCAGATTTATATTTTAGCATTTTGTTTGGATTTTTAAAGTGGAACAATTTGGATACAAATTTGGTTAACAATAACCGGTTTTTTTGCACATCCCTAATCGACGGGTATGGTGCAAAATTCTTCAAGAGCAGTTGGCAAATAGTCAAGAGTGATGTGATTGTTGCAGTTATGGATTTCTTTGTTAAAGAAAGACTGTTCAAAGCCTTTAATACTATAGTTGTCACTCTTATCCTGAAAATTGATCAGGTTGTATCTATAAAGGATTTCTGACTGATTGTTGGCTGCACCACTTTGTATAAAATTATATCCAAGATTCTTACCTCTAGACTTGGAAAAGTATTGAAGACTATCCTTAGTATGTGCTAGGTCGCCTTTATTCCCGGGCAACAGATACACAACCACATTATGCTGACGAATGAGCTCATTAAAGCCTATTCTAGATAAGGAGGGAGCCTGAGAACTATGATCCAATTAGACTTGCAAAAAGCCTACGATATGGTGGATTGGAACGCACTGAAGTGTATCATGATGGAGATAGGTATTCCAGCCCAATTTATCTGTTGGATTATGCTAACTGTTAGTTATGTTTCCTACAGATTTAATGTTAATGGGGCTTTAACCAAAGTGATGGAAGCTAGGAGGGGGACTAGACAAGCAGGCACATTGTGAATTTTTTTTCATCCTACCATTCTATTGGAAAAAAATACACTATATTGCCATAAATCTCAAATGATATACCATATTGTCATAGTTTTAAAAAAAATCAAATTTTTGGTACAAAGGAGCCACCCTTCAATGGGCGGAAAAGTGAATTTTTATTATTGCCGCCCTTTCAATGGGCGGTAGTGTCCACGAATTTTTGTTTTATTCTTTTTATTTAATTTATTTGTTTCTTTAAGTTTTAATATATTATTTTTTTAAATAATAATTATGATTAATATATTTAAAAAATTAAATTAAATTATTATAAATAATAATTATGAATAATATATTTAAAAAATAAATTAAATTGTAATAAATAATAATTTTGAATAATAATAATATTAATAATTAATAGTAATAAATAATAAATATAAAATAATGAATAATAATTATGAATCATAAATAATAATTCTAAGAAATTATTGTTATTATTAAATTATAAATAATAATTATGAAATGGATAATAATAATAATAATTATAAATTCTATATACAATAAAAAATAAAATAGTAATAAAATAAATAAATTTAAATAAATATTTATTTATTCATGAAATTAAAAAAGTACATTAAATTCCTATCCACCCTTAATTTTGTATCGGTCGACGTAAGCGTTGGTGGGTTCTACAGGCAGGAGCATGTACATTTCTGGTGGACCTTCTACGATTAACAATAACGTTTGGGGTTGTGTAAAAGGTCTTGCATCATTGCTAGGGTTCATGAATTCAACGACCATATCATCACTCAAATCATCTACAGTTGGTATCGCTTATGGTTAGGGTGTTTGGTAGTTGTGTTCTTGTGGGGTAGGTTGAGAGAATGAGTATTGGTTATATTGGGTGTATGAAGAGGTTGGGTTTTGTTGTTGGGTGTTGAAGGGGGTTGGGTTAAATGATAGGTAAGGTTGATGGTAATGTTGACTTGGGGTATAAGGTTGTTGTATTGGGTTGAAAGGTTGTTGGGTGTTAAATGTTTGTTGTTGGATGTTAAATATTTGTTTAGGGGTGTTAGATGTTTGTGGTTAGGTGTTACAAGGTTGTCTGGTGTTTTAGAAGTTTGAAGAAGTTGGTTGGTTACGAGGGTCTCATAAGTATCTAATTTGTGATAGTTACAAAATGGTCACAGATCTATACCAATTCATGTATTCTCTATTGGGTTTTTGCTCGGTATCCATGACATTTCCTTGTAGAACAATTCGACGACGACTTATGCAGTGTTAATATGGTCTCTCCAATTATCGAATTTCTATTGCTTATTCATTGTACTATTGTGGTACCTCTCCATGCATGTAAGTGGACAAGGAGTGTCTTGTTGAACTCCGAATTGGAGTTTCACCCTATCTGAATGATGCATTTCAACATAAGTGAAACAAAATATGAATGTTATAGAACTCCACATGTCGCTTTTAGTTGGACCCTCATCTTCAAGTTCAAGATAAGGCCTCCATAGAAACTAGAATATAGTTAAAAAGGGATTAGAGTTTTAAAAAATGTTAATGATAGTAGTATAAGTGTTAGAAACAATACATCATCTTCCTCAAAATGATTGAAGAACGTCTGATATCTAGGAGCACAATGATGAGGGGATTTTTCGTAATTCATTCCATACGCGTACCACTTATGAAATAAATAATTAGTAAAAATTATAGATGAAAAGTATATATACATAAACTTCGTATACTTACTTGGTTGCATATGGAAAGTGATATGGATTAGGGTTTATCGGTGCCAGTCTGGGCATTCTGAACCATCCTCAAGCTTGAATCAAAACGCCCCAACCAACAAAATTTTGCACATTTTTTCTTGCGCATCTACACAAACTTCTGTATAGATGCACTAAGATAGCAGCGCCCCAACTATATCTACTTATTTGACTTAAATCTTCTAATAATGGTAAAAATTGAAGATGGATAGTATTATCATTAGTATCAAGAAATAAAAAGCATGCAAAAAGCAATAAAATATAAATTCTAGTTTTATAAATTTTGAGTTCCTCGGGAGACTCCACGTTCAATATCAAAGCACCATAAATTCTTCCATTAGATCTTACTTAATGTTTATGTCACCAACAACCGCTAACTCATCCACACGCAGACCTAACCATATATGGACATCCTCCAAGGTCACCGTGCATTCACCTGTGGGGAAGTGAAATGTGTGGGATTTTAGTCTTCATCTTTCGCACAAGGAGAGAAGAAATTTTCAATCAATTCCATATGAAGTTTTGTTAATGACGTGACTGAAACCCGCTTGAACCAAATATGGTTTGATAATTTCATCATGCTCTATGTACTTATCTGAGCGTGGTTTGAAATTTTTTTCATCCTACAAAAAAAGTATATAACATTATAAACATAGTTATAAATAACATTATAAATAATTATAAACATTATAAATAATTATAAACATTATAAACATAATTTAACAAAATTATAAATATTATAAACAACAACATAAATATTATAAACATTTTTAATATTTTAACAAGTAACAATTTAAATATTTTAAGTAACATTTTAAATATTTTAACAACTTAAATATTATAAATAAGGTATATAACATTGTAAACAATTTAAATAAGATTACAACATTTTAAATAATATTATAACAATGTAACAACTTAAATATTTTAAATAAGATTATAACATTGTAAACATTTTAAATAAGATTATAATGTTATTTATATTTTAACAATTAACAACTTAAATATTTTAAGTAACATAAATAACATTATAACATTTTAAAAAAGATTGTAAATATTTTAAATAAGTAATATAAACATTATAAGATTGTAAACATTATAAATAACATGTTCTTACATATGATGCAATGTTTGCAAGTGTGCCTCGATGATTTTCTCCTAAGGTTAGCAAAACCATTTTGTAAGAATGGAAGTAGAGAGTTTTATAAGATCAGTAGTATGTTGAGATGAATTTATAATAGAAATGATATGGTATTTGTAGGAGATGAATATGATTAATGTGAAAAAAAATGTAGGTAAGAAATTAATGTGTTGAGTTGAATTAATGATAGTACGTGTTTCTTGCATGCATGACAAGAATTTATGGCTGTTGACTACTACCCTTTGAATGGGCGGCAGCTTTATTCGTGTCAGGCAACTGAGAACTGAATGCGCAGCAAGGAGTTAATGTTTTTGACATCCAGGGACTGGATATGCGGCAGAGATATACCTTGCAGCAACTTTTCTGGATAGCAGGGCATTGAATGGGCGGTTGAATTAAATTTTGTCTCTTCCATCCATTGGATGGGCGGTATAGTTCAACTCATCTGTTGATCAGAAGCCACATATAATTTTTATGCATGCAAGTTAGGGAAATGCCAAAACTTGTATCATTTGCTTTATAACTAGGAGTAGTTCTCATAATTTTTTCATCATCTTCAAACATTTTCATATTATTTCTTCTTGCATGTTCTACACAAACACCAATCATTTTCATCACATATTCTTATATATATAATGTCTACTATTTAATAATATATTGTTAATGCTCATTACAATGTGAGTGTTGTTGTATCTGATGAAGTGGGTTTGATCTTTGAAAAAACTGACGTAAGTCGTTTCGGTGTTAATAAAAGATTGTCATTCCAACATTTTAAAGATAGGGTAGAGATGAAGGTGCAACCAGGATCAGTTACACAGATTACGTACAGAAATTTTGTCCATTTCGGGGACCATCACTTTAAATTTGTTCCATTAAAGGTTCGTGACGACGAGGATGTTGAAACGATGTTCTCGAATCATAAACGTTTTGGATTTTCGTACATTGAATTATATATCACATTTGAACAATGTTAAGAAACTCAAATTTCTCTAGTCATCAATGCATCTGTAGAGGAAACGCCAACCATAATTCCTCCATACTAACAATGTTTTTAGTGTGAAGGAGACAATGGATCATGGTGAGGGGAAGCCTATAGGACATTATAAGGTCAACCTCTTAAACGGGTGGTGTAACTGCAGAAAGTTTCAAGCATATCATGTCTCTTGCTCACATGTTATTGCTGCATGTTCTAATATGCGCCACGACGCTTACGCTCTTTTGTCCGACGTTTATAGGGTTACAAACCTGTTTGGGGTTTACAGCACAAACTTTTCAGTGCTGCCTAATGATGAATATTAGAACAAGAAAGGTCGCCCAATGAGTACACGTATTAGAACGGAAATAGGTAACTTTGATAATCTTGAGAGAAAATGTTCCAAGTGTCTGATCGCGACTTTCTATGTCTAATACAACCTAACTGCAAGTGCACAGTCTATCGCGTAGTAATAATAGATATCGATCCCACAGGGACTCGTAATCAAACTAGTGTTCTCGGGAGTTACTATGTTTAGCTAGGTAGAATATGTTTAAGGGGATAAGATTGTCACTAAAAGGGAACTAAGAATACTATTTAGATTATAAATGATTGAATCGATACGTAGTAATTGTGTTCTTCAGGGATTTGATAAGTTACTGGTGTATGAAATAATTTTCAAAGTTTATTTAAGCAGAAAATGGTGATTTGAAGACTCTCGCCTCACGATGGTTATTGACGCTAATCATAATCCTAAGGGCCAAACGTACACTTTTGTATCCCATTCGGGGTCAAAATTATTTTTTGGAAATCTCTAAGTTCTAATTCATTTTAAAGTGCTTTCGCTGTTATTAAAATGAATGACTAGTGTTTACTATCTGACCTTACCGCAGCTTTCGCTTGTTGGTTCGTATCTTAATTAATTTCCCACTTTCGTGGCAAAACTACTTTTAAATAAGTTCTCGCTTTCGCGACGAAGTTTATTCAGTAAATCAATTTTAAACACTCAGACCATAAGTTACTTTTGAAAAGAAGGTTTTTCAACCAGTTGTTATCAAATCCCATTCGAATTATTACTACATATCGATTACCTAAGTTTAGCTAGACATGGATTTGGGAAAGATAAAATATAAATAAAAATAATAAATAATGATTTGCATTATAATAAAACTGGAATCGATTGAAATGAGAAACCTGTAAATATTCCAATTGGCCTTTGGGCAGATCCTCCACAGATGTTGGCAGGATTCTGATCTCTAATGCCAATTTGATTGTACAGTGAAAGTAGAAATTATAGAAGAATGAAAAATGGAATATAGGAAAGGTAAAGAGAAACAAATAAGAATATTGCTGGAAAATATGCTCTGGAAAATAAATTTGGCAGCACTTCGTTGTATGAATGCAGCACACCTTCTGAGGTCCCTTTCTTCCCTTTTTATAGAAGTGGAATTCCAACGGTTATCCTTGAAGATGATGGACTTTGAGGGAGATAATTTAGGGAGTCATGGTCCACTCTGTGGGAATTGGAACTGATTCTTTAACGTGTAATTGAAGTGGGGCGTTTTTGCCTGCATGACGGTCGTCACAAGGTGTGACGGTCGTCACCCGTGTGACGCCCGTCATGGAGCTGTGACGGTCGTCACATCAGCAAAAACAACTTCCTGCGCTTTTCATGATGTTTTTACTCCTTTTAATCTCCGAATTTCATCTGAGATTGCTTCTTTTCTTCATGTTGCCTTGTTCAGACGTGATCGTTTGAATACCTGCAAAACATCAGACAAATAACACGGAAATAACCCACAATCGGATCGAAAACGGTTAAACTTTAGTTGAATTATGCATAAAAATATCTATATGATTTCGTGTTATCAAACTCCCCTAAGCTTGAATCTTTGCTTGTCCTCAAGTAAAGCATGAAAAAGTCGGCAAGCACGAGGCAGCTTCTTCGTTCGCAGAGTAGGGAAAAATCGGGATTCTTGGTAGGAACAAGACGAGTATCATGACGACACTGGACTACAAGTCTTCGGAGGTCTCCTTTTTATGAAAATCGGTCCCAGTCATGCTACTGTAGCTTGGTGTCAAGGTTCTCGCGGCAAGTTCACCCTGTTTGTTCTAGCGCAATCACATTAAGCCCGTTGTCCATACACTTTCATGGCAAGTCGACCTGTTAGTGAATATGATCTCATTTCTGTTTTTGATCTTCTTCCTTTGATCATAAGCTTATGTCATTGATTTTTCAATGGGTTTTTCGTGCCGTTGGGCTAAATGCTCGGGTGAGGAGCACCTAACTTAGAAGGAAACGTGTCTTATATTTTTGGGCTATTTAGCTCTCTTTTCATGATTTTTCATCTTTTTGGAGATCATACACTTATTTGCATCGGTCGCTCGCTTAGAAGTGTTTTAGGATGGTGCTGACTGCTAGTATAAACTACTTGGGGTTGAGTTTGCGTAGACACTTGAGACTTTGGTACACGTAGGTAGTGGAACCGACTCGCATAAACTAGAGATCTAAGGTGTCTGGACGATACTGGTTTTGTTAAAACTGTCGTTTCCTCGGAGTTTCAAAACTTGTTTTGAACTCAGGTGCATTCTCGTGGTGCTTTTGCTTTTGAGGAACGAATGAAAGTTTTTGTTTACGTTGAATAATGTGGGGATTGTTTGCGTAACGGGAAAAATATATAGACGGACTTTATTTGCTAAAAATAGAAAGTGTTAAAATAGAAATTACGAAAATTCAAAGTGCAGTGAAATGGAAATAAAGGAAATTCAGAGTACAGTGGAATGGAAATAAGGCTCCGCTCCCACACTATCTCGATCAGTGTCCTCACTGATTCTTGAAGCATGCAAGAGGGAGATACAGCTGAAAATGAAAATACAAATAACTGAAATATAGTAAACAATGAAGGAAACAAATGGAAATCTAGTCACGACCTCTGTCACGTCCGCGCTGGCGTCCTCTGGCTCTGGCGAGGGCTACTCGGTCCTCATAACTCATAGCTCCTATGTGGTAGACGGTGTCCCGGAGTCAAAAATGGAAATCTAGTCACGGCCTCTATCACGTCCGCGCTGGCGTCCTCTGGCTCTGGCGAGGGCTACTCGGTCCTCATAACTCATAGCTCCTGTGTGGTAGACGGTGTCCCGGAGTCCTTCGACCTGCAAGGTCAGATTCGCTAGGCTCTCAGTGATAGTAGCTTGGCCGGTGTGAAGTTGTTGCATTTGAGTCCGGTGCCAAGCTTCGAACTGGTCAACTCGCTGATTCTACTGCTGCAGTATCGCGAGTATCTGTGCCTGCTGGTCTAGGGAGCGGCGGAGGTCCTCTTCGGTGTAGTCTGGCACGGGATAATGTCGGCGGAGGCAAGAAGATGTACCTTCGGGAGGAGGAGGCTGCGATGCCTCTGGCTGCTCGGACCTGTCCAACTCAGCTTGGATTTCATCGTCGGAACCGTGAGTGTGGTCCTGAGTAGGAGCAGCGGCAGCAGGAGGGGCAGTGAGGTCGAACAACCAGTTGGTACGGTCCTCTGGGTGTGTGCGGGTGCGGAACGGAAGGATGATGCTTCGGACGATCTTGCCACGCACTACCGGATGGTATTTGTCGTCAGCTCGGGAGCGGATAAGATGAGAGGCTCTGCAGTGGTCGGTGTCAAGGAACACCGAGGGGATGGACTGGAGGTGCTGGAGGCGGTCTCCAAGGTTCAGCCCAAGCGCAATAGCAGTGACAATCCCGCCAAAGTAGAATGGCTTCGAGCCACGGTTGTAGTTGGCCTGAATATGAGCCAGCAAAAACGGAGCAGCGTTGACAGGTTCATTGTTGAAGACGCAATGGAGAAAGAAGAGCTCTTTCGAGTTCACTTTGTGGTTGTTGTCTCTGGCGAAAATAGTGTTGCTCAACGCTCTGTGAAAGTACCGAATGGTTGGGTTATGGATATGAGTGGCGTGCAGGGAGTCCCAACCATCGGTATTAAGGCCGGTCAACTGATACCACAGCGCGAAAGCTTCGTGCTGGAACTGATCGGTGATGCGGCGGTGAGCGTTGTCGCTGCGAGGTAACTGTAGGATGCTGGCAGTATGATTTTGGTTCACCTGATAGTTGGTGCCAAACATCCGGAAGCATGCGGCGCCTGAGTGCTGGTTAAGTTCGCCGCTGGATGTGACGTAAGTGAACGAACTCAAGAACTCAAGAGTGAGTTGTTCGTATGTTGGCTGTGGGTTGGTGCAGAGGTTCCAGATGCCTGCTCTTTGAAGCATCCAGGTCACGCCTTCAAGGAGTCCGAGCTCTGTAAGCGATGGAAGGTGTGGATAATGAGTCGGCTGGAGCGACCTCTGATGAAATACGATGTAGTTTGCTCGTTGTCTTTCGCCTAAGTCTCCTTCACTAAAGATAATGTTGCTGACATCTGGGGTTTCTGCATTCCTTGCCATTGTTGGAAGATGGAGAGGTTTCTGAGGATTGGGGTTTTTCTGCAGAGAGGGAAGAACTGACAGAAGTGTGGTTTGGAGGTTGAGTTTGGAGTTGAAATATATAGTTCAATGTGGGGAGGACAAAAATTCGTAGTGGGGTAGGAGTTAGGATGATTGGAAGTGGTAATGGGGGAAGTGGAAGAGAACACGAACCCTGTTTTATCAAATATCAGTTTTTGAATGCGTGACGGTCGTCACAAGGTGTGACGGTCGTCACCCGCGTGACGCTCGTCAGGATCCTGTGACGGTCGTCACAGCAGCAAAATCTGCAGAACGCAGAATTTTGCTCTGAGGGTGTTCTCGTAGTGACTTTAAGGCTTAGTAATGATACTACAATATAATTGAATGGCCAACAAACAACGGATAATGCGAAAATAGAATAATTGCACAAAAACTAGAATTGAAATAACATAAAATTGAAATGATTGTATGTAGTACATAAAGAAAACTAACAATGCGAAAAATCCAAATGATTAAATGAAACTAACTAGACTAAACTAAACTGGAACTACTGCTAAGAACTAGTAACTAATCTTTTCGTGTCTTCAACTCATCGAATTTCCATGAATAGTAGTCGAGTTGGTCGCAGACTAAGTCCATGAAGCCTACCAGTTCGCTGTGCATGCTTGCGATGTCAGCTTTTACATTAGTCAGAGCTGCATCAACGTCGTCCAATCTGAGTAACACGGCATCCATTTTGTCGGTGGTCTCCTCAGGGATAGGCTCAGGATAAGTGTTGTAGTGCGGAGGAGTCGTAGGGTCTACTTTAGCTTCAGATACAGCGTCCTCATAGTACATATAGTCGTGTGCCTCAGAGATGTGGTCACTGTCATACATATAGTTTTGTGGTGTTGACTGTGGTGAAGGA